GATTCAAACATGCCTGGCATTTACGAAGTGTTGGAATGGATTGCAACATCACAACAGAAGACACCCATGACGCAAGGCGATGTTTTGTTGCATTTTCCTCACTTGGACCCATTGTTGGTACAGTATGCAGATACAAATGTTTATGCCATGCTGACTACAGACACATTGGGTGAAGCCAGGAGTTTGGTGCGACACGCGAAAAGGCCCAACGGCTTTGAGGCATTCAGGTTGCTTCAGATCCGGTTGAACCCGGTCACCATTGGCCGTCAGAGAGCTGACCTTATGAAGATCACGAACACGTCGGCAGCGATCAGCATTGACAGATTGGCGGCAGAGTTGGTGAGTTGGGAGAACCTGATTGCGCCGTATGAGTCGAGGCCGGGAGCTGACCGTGTCTCTGATGCTATGAAGATGGCTGCATTAGTTCACATGGTTCCGAATGCCTTGAAACAGCACTTGCATATGAACGCCGCAAGATACACCACATACCTTGAACTCCGTGAGGAAGTTATGAGTTACATTGAGCAGGTGGCACCAGTGGCATCAACAACAATGGATGTTGGGTCAGTTGGGGTGAGCAAGGGAGGTGGTTGTTACATTTGTGGAGGTCCTCATATGCAGAAGGATTGCAAGAAGGGCAAAGGCAAAGGAGGTAAGGATGGAGGAAAGGAAAGGTAAGATCCATGATGGCGGCAAGGGCAAAGGGAAAGGCAAAGGCTTTGAAGGGAAGAAAGGTGGAGGAAAAGCCAAGCCTGTCTGTCACAACTGTGGGAAGACCGGCCATTACAAAGATCAGTGTTGGAGCCGTCCCAAGCCCTTGAACGCAGTTGAGAAGGAGACCTCACCTTTGCTGTCTCAGTTGCAGTCGAATTATGCCAAGGCTGCTGTGGAGGAGTTTCAGCGGTTGAGATTGACAGGAGCTTCGTCATCGTCGGCGCCCAGTCCGCCCGTTGTTCAGGTTTCCACTCCATCGTCCCCAGCATCGCCAGGTGCGGCATCCAGTGCAGTGCCAAAGCCTCCAGTGAGCGCCGGGAGTTTGACCATCAAACGCTTGTGTGCATTGAGCAGGGCGCAGGCCATTGCAAGGCGCATTGTGGCGGATGCAGAGCAGGGTCGTTTTGATGAGACGGAGCGTCGCATTGAGCAGTATCTTCAAGGTGCATGTCCATTGACAGTGACAGTTGATTCAGGAGCCGCAGCGTCAGTTGCCCCAGCAGAGGCTTTTGCAGAGCATGAGCAATTGGCCCCAGTTGACGGTGTGAGTTTCCTGAGTGCAAATGGAGAGATTGTTCCAGAGTTGTATCGAGTGAAACCTCTCATCGTGACAGAAGAAGGAAAGGTGAGGGGAACACAATTCAGCATTGCTCAGGTACACAAGGTCCTCATGTCGGCCGCTCAAGTTGCCAATCGTGGTCATCGGATTATGTTGGCACCCTATTGGGAGGATAGCTGGATTGAGGAAATTGAGACAGGAGAGCGGATGCAACTACATCAGGAGGAAGGTGTCTATGTGCAGAGGATGCATGTTGTGCATCCTTCTCGTGAGGGTTTCAGCGGGCCGGCACCGTGGATTGCGCCTCCAGCAATCTAGAGGTGAGTCCAGACTATGCTGTAAGTCCTGATCGGTCGTTCTTCATTCCTCATTCATGCAGTGAACGTGGAGGAGGCCGAGGAGGAGACAACAGCGGCTCGTGATGAGGCCAATGAATTAGCAGCGCATCCAAGTTCTGATGTTTATGGTGCAGGTCCTATGAGCTTGAACATAGACACCAGTGACTATTTCCCAGAGGGCTGGGGGGACTATGAGGCACCCGCGGGAGGTGTTGATGAGGAGTTGCATGGAGAATTGAGCGGGGGTGAGGAGATCGAGAAGATCGCCCAGAGTTCACCCTTGAAGCCAAGTGCACAGGAGGTGGATGAGCGCAATGTTACTCATCTGCCATATCGGAGTTGGTGCAATCATTGTGTAAGAGGCCGTGGACGAGCGCTAGCACATCATCGAGTGAGAGAAGACGCTGACGACAAAGCAAGGGGGAGGCCTCGGGTGAGCATGGACTACTTTTATCTTGGACGGCGGGAGGAGGAGTGTTTACCTCTCCTGGCAATCTTGGAGGAGAAGTCACAAAGAACTTTTTCAGTGGCCATGCCGTGCAAAGGGGTTTCAGATCATCAGTATCCGGTGACCATTGTTGTCAAGTTGCTTCGTTGTTTGGGCTTGCAAGATGCAGTGTTGAAGACTGATACAGAACGGTCTTTGGAGGTTCAGGCGAGACTTTCTGGGATCGGCTTTGAGGATGCTGTCAAAGGAGTGAGACCAATGGACCCATTGAGAATGCAGTGGGTAAGCTCCAGGGAATGTGTCGTACCTTGAAGTCAGCTTTGGAGGCTGGAGGCTAACTATGGGACCGACATATCTTCTCGACATCCAATCTTGCCTTGGTTGATTGACTATGCTGGGACTTTGCTACCTCGATTCAGTAGAGGACAAGATGGCAGGACTCCTTACGAAAGATCGACAGGGAAAAGATGGCAGTTGAAGCTTCCTGCATTTGGGGAATGCGTTCTTTTTCAGAGATTGAAAGGAGAGCGGAATCCCGCCAAGATCGCGCCTCGTTTTGAAGATGGGGTGTATCTGGGTTTGCAGGAGGGCGCAGCCTTGAAGTGGATTGAAACTGATCGAGGAGTTGAGCGAGCTTGGAGTGTGAAGAGAAAGCCCAGAGACGAGCAATGGACGAAGTCTGCATTGGAATCTCTGATTGGGTTGCCTTGGCAATTGAAGCCACCTGCAGCTCCAGATCGGGGGCCATTGCAGCCAGTGGAGATTGAGTTGGCGGATGCGCCAAAGATGCCCGAGCCAGTGGTGAAAGTGAAGGGTGGGGACTATGTGCCAAGAGGTCTCTACATTCGTCGTGACGTTGAGTTGCAGCAGTTCGGATACACTGAGGGGTGTGATGGTTGCTTGGCAGCTCAAAGTGGACTTGCTCGTCGTCAGCGCAGCAGAGTTTGCAAGGCGTGAATTGCAAATGAGTTGAGCAAAACAGAAGAGGGTAAAGCCAGAGTTGAGAGAGTTCATGAACGTGCAGAGAAATACATTGTCGCTTACAAGAACAGAGAGGACGAAAGGAAACGCAAGCTTGATGAGGGCAAACTTGCAGATGTGAAGAAGGCGACATTGAGGAAATCAGAAGATGAAGAAATCACAGAGCTTGATAGAATTCTTGGGCCATCTCCAGGTACCGAGTCTTCAGGTTTGCGGCCGCCAGATCAGAGTCCGGTCGAGTTGCTTCCAGGAGGACAACCCTCGCTTCATTTCCCTGGTCTATCAGTTGCACCAGTGGTGGAGGTGGGTGAAGGGCCTGTTGTGGTGGAGGTGGATGATCTTGATGAATCGATTGTCATGGACGTTGGATCACTTGATCGAAGCCAAGAATTTGAGCTTGTGAGAAGAGAGGTCAGTCTTGATGAGACAGCAGAGCTCATGCTTGACGAGGAAGTGGAGGCTCGAAGGATCCTCTTACAGACAGGGGCTTTGACCGTGAAGGTGGCCTACAGTCTCAGCAGTCCAGTGTTGATCGAGCTTTTCTCTCCGCCAAGGTTGACAGACTATGCGCAGAGGAGAGCGCTTGGACAAGGTCTCGCATTGGACTTGACAACCTGTGATGACCAAGGGGTTGCATGGGATTTTAATGTGAAGGAGCGGAAGGACAGCGCATCAGAGTTAATTGAGAATGTGAGTCCAGATTTGTTGTTGGGATGTCCCCTATGTCGCATGTACAGCTTGCTTCAATACCTCAATCAGCATAAGATTGATCCTGAGGAGTGGGACAAAGCAATGACAGAAGCAGAGAACGTTGAACAATATGAAGCCCAGATGCAGAGGAACAATTTTTCTTGCACGAACATCCAGCATTCGCTACATCGTGGAGGTCGCCATCAGTTGAACGCTTGAAAGAAAAGGAAGGAGTGTTTCATGTTGTTGGTGACATGTGTGAGCAAGATATGCGTGTGTCGGATGAGCACGGTGAGGGTTTCGCCAAGAAGAGTACAGGTTACCTCACCAACAGTGAATGCATTGCACAGGAACTTTCCAAACGCTGCTCAGACGCATTGAGTGTGTTCCGGCAGGAAAAGGGCAGTATCCGGGCCAAGGGGGCCCATCTTGGGAACGTGTGCAGAGGAGAGTGACATTTGATTTGACGAATCATCGTTTGCTGCAGGATTTGAGAGATGTTCATTCGGCCACAAAAGAGACGTTAGAATTCAGAATTCCATCACAACGCAAACAAGTTGAGACAGTTTTCTACCACATCAAACCGGGCAAGATATGGCACAGACATGTTCCCCTTTTGGGGGGGTAAGGCAAAGCAGTGTGAAGTGTACCCCAATCTTCGCTTGCGCAGCATCTTGAAGGGGTTGAGGAAACAGTTGAAGAAGGTGAAGCCAATGAGCGCACTTAGTTTTGGTCCATGAACGAAGAAGTTGATTTGGACATTGAACTTGCACCTTCAGGTTTACAGCTTGCAGATGATTGGACAAGTTTTGCTGAAGAGATTTCCGGCAAACCGTTGTCAGCAGCAGGTGTGAGAAAGGCCAGAGAGGAGGAGATTGATTATGCTGCGCGATACGGTGTATGGGACACTGTACCCATAGCAGAGGCCTATCAGTATGACTCTAAAGGGCCGATCTCTTCTCGTTGGATTGACATCAACAAAGGAGACGAAGATCATCCTTCGTACCGTTCTCGCCTGGTCATTCAAGAGACCAGGCAGTCGCATATTGAGGCGGTGTCTGCGGCCACATCTCCCCTAGAATCCGTGAGGATGCTTTTGAGTTTGCAGCGAAGTTGCACAGATCTTGATAGCAAAGGGAGGAGAAAGAAAGTTCTTTTTGTTGACATTCGCCGTGCACATTGGACAGCCCGTATATTCAGACGAGTGTACGTTAGACTTCCGGTGGAGGCAGGGAATCCAGAAGGAACTTGTGGCCGGCTCAACAAGGCCATGTACGGCTGTCGTGACGCCGCAGCATGTTGGGAGCTTGAGATCACAGACTTCTTTACAACCAACGGTTTTGCTCCTGGCATTGGTAGCCCAGTTCTTTTTGTCAACACTACAAGAGACTTGAAAGTTTCGATACATGGTGATGACATTACAGTGTTGGGTTTCGAAGATGATTTGATGTTGCTTTACAAACAGATGGGTACAAGGTATGAAATGAAGTTTGGGGGCTTGCTTGGTCCAGACAAGACAGATGTTCAGAATGTTGCTATTTTGAACAGGCTTGTACATTACGGTGCAACAGCAACAACATTTGAAGCAGACCCCCGGCATGTTGAGATTATTTTGAATGAGTTGAATTTGACAACAGCCAAGACAGTTTCGTCGCCCGGTGTCCCGGCGTTAGCAGCCCGATGAGACATTGTTGACAGGTACTGACATCACAAGGTACCGTAGCTTGACAATGAGGGCAAACTACCTGAGTTTGGACAGGCCAGACATCGCCTACGCGACCAAAGAGTTGGCTAGAGGCACGCAGACTCCTACTCAGGGGCACTACAACGGCTTGAAAAGGCTTGCAAGATACCTTGGAGGGCACCGGCGGCTCGTGTGGAGCTGTGCGGAACAGTCAGAGCAGAACAAGTTGAAAATGTTTTCAGATTCAGATGATGGTGGATGCCTCACAACAAGGAAGAGCACTTCAGGTGGCGCATTGATGCATGGCAGCCACTTGTTGAAATTTTACTCTTCAACCCAGCATGTGATCAGCTTGAGTTCCGGAGAATCAGAGTTTTATGCAGGCATCAAAGCTGGGAGTGCTTTGTTGGGTGGCATCGCTACAATGCAAGATTTGGGTTGTGAATTTTCAGCAGAGCTGGTGTTTGATGCAACCGCCGCGAAGGCGATGCTTGGAAGGCGTGGCCACGGTAAGGCCAAACACATTGCTCGATGTTTCTTGTGGCTGCAGCAGAGAATTCAAGATGGTGACATTGTGTTGGGCAAACGCGGCACCAATGTAAATCCAGCGGACTTGGGAACCAAGCACCTGGAAGGTGCCCGCATTGCCGAGTTGCTGACGCTTGAAGAGGGAGCCCATGAGATGGCCCTGAAAGCCTAGCGGATGGCATCATGAAGATGACCATCCGAGGGGGCCTGTCAGAGGTTCACCGGCCTTACGGCTATGCTCATGTATAGTATCTATTCCGTCCGAAGCCGCGAGAAAAGGACTCAAAGAGTTTCGCAGGAAGAGTCTCACTGGCCCTGTTTGTCACATCCCCTGAAGTGAAAGAGGAAGAATTCCATGCTGCACCGATACCGGAATATCATGATCATGCAATATCCCATGTGCTGCAGCCAGACAATTATCAGCCTCATGTCAAAGGTAGACCAGCTTGCAAGAGCATGCGAGGTAAGCGAGAAATTGGTTTGGTTCAATCAGTTCTATCCACCACCACCACTGTTGAAAAAAAACATTGTTGAAAAAAACATTGCAAACCTGGCAGCACTTTGAAGTCACAGAAGCATCCACGGGCACGCCACATGTCGTTCACTGTTCAGGTCTTGGAAGCATAGACATCTCCTGTTTAAGGAGTCAGTTCGCAGACGGACGTGCCCGAGAATTTCGGCAAACCGTGGGAGGCCAAGATTCAAGACTTCATCCTGTTGTCAGAAGTGGCATTGTGCCCCGAAGTCAGCACAGAGGTACCCCATAGCTGAGGTTGTCACTGCATGTGGCCAAAGCTTGGATGTTTGGACCCTTAGCAGTCTTACCTGCTGACACACTGGGACTGGATCTTTGAATGGATGAGGGTGATTGATGCAAGACCATGAATCTCATTGAATCTCATGAGATCACATTGCAGTTGTTCCAAGCGGGTACTCTACTACAAAGCGAGGGTTCGAGCAACAGTCTTGCAAAGATTGAATGTTCCACTGCCCGAGGCCGAAGCTCTTTTTAAGCTGTCCTCAACACAGTCAGGCTTGCCACAGTTGGTTGTGTATTTGTATGTCGATGCTGGAACATGCTGGACCTGTTTTCATATATATGGCCAAACAAATCACGGCCGGCCAGAACGGCAGGTCCTGCAGTGCCCAAAGAAAGGTCTTTGGCAGCCAGGCTGGCCAGCTTTCAGGGTTTGTTGTTATAGAAAGGGCTTCAATGTGCCTAAACTGGGTAGTAAGCTCGTGTAAGCTCTATCAAAGTTCAGCAGCATAACCTGCCAATTGCCCTACCAAAATGTTACAGTCATTTGGTTGGCGTTGTGGTTAATTCGGGGTCCGAAAGACGGAATGCAGTGGAAATGTAGGTTGCGTGCGCCGCAGCTGGGCCGATCCAAGGGCATGGTAGCTTAGTCAGAAGGCTCTTGAGCCACTTTATAGCTTTGTCCGTTGGGTCGTCAGTGTTGTTTTTTAACACGAGAAGTTGTAGCATGAGGTCGGTCCATGAAGTTGGATGCAGAAGAGGATGATATTGAGGCAGGTATGTCGCACAGCCCTCAAAATTGCCAAACTGAAACACTGATATGTTTCTTGGGCACTGACAGTGCCTCTTTACAGCAGCTGAGGTTGGAGATGCTGAAGTCGATGGAGAAGACAACATCCAAGGCACTTGAAATGGCTGCAGGGCCTTTGGAACATGTTTACGGCATTCTAGTAATGTGATGAATCAGTCCTGTGAATAATCTCCGTCGCAACGACATGTTTGATGGGTTCCTCTTTGTTCTTTCAATATGAAGCGGAGGCTGTTGCCAGCTGTCGAGGCATTGCAAAGCTGGTGCCACTGCTTGATTCTATGGGAGATAGGGGGGTGGCTGGGCAAGTCGCTGTTTGTTTATTCATGTAGCAGTAGCACACGTTTTTTCATTCCCAATACCCACACCATAGACAGATGTTGGTGAGCAAGCAGCAAGGCACATGATGTCGCAGAACAGTCCACTTGGCATGTTGCCGCAGCTTCCTTGAAAGCAACAATCAAATACACAGCTCAAGTCCCAAAATATACGGGACAGCGCTCAAAAGGCCAAAGTGAAGATGCACAGAGATATATAAGTAGCGCAAAAAGGATGGAACGGCTGAAGGGCTAGTAAAAGTAAAAGCATGATGAAGAGCACAGAGAGGGGCTGAGTGTTCTGGAAACTCTGCCGAAGTCCTTTGCGTGATCAGGGTGACTCTGCAAAAAGGTCCCGGTTTGGATAGTTTGATTATGGTGCTTGGAACATCCATCCAAAAAAACGAAGAGAACTATAGAGAACTGAATATTACGTTGTCAAGCATATTGTGCCTAGCCAAGAAGTACAATGGTCACCTGCCATGGCTGATGCAGAGCTTGAACATTTGCAATGCCAGGTGCGCCGTACGATTGACATAACGATGTCACGATGTCAAACTGATCAGATGGTACAGATAGGTAGCTTTCCACACTCCTGTGATTGGAGTGGTTCTGGCCCTGGTGCAGTGATTGCAGGAGGAGGCCTTTCTTCACCACGAGATCTTTCAGCTGGGCTGCTATGAACCCTTGCAACCCCTGGAAGTATCAGTGCCCTGGAAGCATCAGAGCAGACATAAGCCAACATCAGAGACCAAATTTCAGAAAACCATGGAAGACCTGCAAAGCATCCGCACATTTAGCTCTTTCTTGACTTTTTGATGGATAACAAAACTGAATAAATATGTCAAAAGAATACAGCCTTTACAGCCTTTGGGGAATGCAAGGAAGAGCTTTGTAACAGCTTTGCAATTGTTTGCTATGCTGGTGGCGGACAGCTGAAATTTGGGACATGCTTGGGGAATAAGGAGCCGTTGATCATTGATGTCGGTGCAAACGTGGGCATGTTTGCCCTTTGGGCACTGGAGCGCTGGAAAGGCAGCCGCCTGCACCTCGGCGCTACACCAAGATTGATTCATATTGTTTCTATGATTTTGACTTTGTTTGATGCATCCGCCCAGGATTTGCATAGAACCGTTGCCACCAATTGTCAAAAGATTGCGGGAAAATCTCAGTGAGGCTAGGCGAAAAGAATTTGCACTGTTTCAAGTTCTGGATGCCATGATTTGTCAGGGTTGTTCAAAGTGAGCAAGACAAACAGATCCATGGTTTCTGCATTGCGCTGACAATTTTGTTCATTTCAGCTCGACACTCTTAAGATATTAATATACATCTCTTTGGGTTGTTTTCTCCCATTAAACAGGCCAGCAGCCGCGCGGTGATTGTTCCTGCAGCCCTGGGTGCTGCAGAGGAGGACAGGGCATTCCCACATGGCATGTGTGTTCTTTTGTTTGTCAGAGCAGGTTTCCAAGCCTCAGAACTTCTTCATCAAAATGTTTGCAGGGCAGAAGTGTTTGCGTTCCTACTTTGATTGCAGATTTATATCGCTAGTTCCCGTTTTCACATTGAATGTCAAATTGATGTCATGATGCAGGTTGCGGAGTTCTACTATTTCCCTTGGGCACCAGGAGAATCTACCAGAAATGCAGATGAGGTTGGACATTCAATGCTATCAGGGAACAATTTGCTTCGTCACAATGGTAGGTGGACCATCAATACTCAGTATACTCTTCCAGTAAATACACCTACAATGTGACGTAGTTTGATGTTGTCAACAACCTGGGTTTGTCGTGGTTTGTCCCCAGAAGAACGCAGGAAAGCTACTTGTATAAGAATCTGTCGGCCCTCATTACAATTTACACTGACAATTCTGGATGGACCGGTAAGTTTGTGAGCAACGAGGAAAACTTCTGCCTTCAAGGGAGCTTGTGCCTCTCTCAGGCAGCAGCTTCCTCGAACCCTCACTCTACTTTGTGTCTCGTTTAGTAGCTTACTTAGCTTACTACAACAGCTTCTCATTGCCTACTTCCAATCTTCTCAGGCCTACCTCCAAAACAATATTAGAAAAGGAATGCCCAATCGAAAGCTAACCTCACGTCGTGCCATGGCAATTGGCAGGCGGCAGAGCAGCGGGTCCGCCTTTGGAGAGCTGCAAAGGAGGCGGCGGTGACTTTGCCGATGCTGGGCAGCATTCAGTAACGCTTGATGGAGGTTGCGAAGCTATGTAGACTATGTTCGTTAGGTGTGCTCTAGTTTTTGCAATAAACGTGTGAAGAAGATATTGGACTGAGACTGGACTGGATTAGAGTGCACCCCATGACCACTACATTTGTTGGCATATGGGATGGTAATCACAGTGGAGGCACATTGGATCTGGAGAGATTTGATTGTGATGTACTACCTGTACTGCTCCATTGTACTTGCAAGGCCGCATCTGGAGAGGCTATCAAAATTGCAAGAGCCCTTCTGTTGCCTCAAGCTCAGAGGATTCGGTCAATGTCAGGCAGATAAATCCAAAACCTAATGTTTTCACTGTGTGTGTTTGTAGAGTTGATAGAAATCGCCAACAACATCGCATGGATTTCAAGCAATGAATGCCTTTCCTGCCGTTGAATTCTTTGTATGTTTCCTCCAATCGTCCGATTCTCTTCTACTAAGAAGGAGGAAACAACAGGATGGTTGATCCTCATTTCTTTAGCAAAAAAGCGGTGTGTTTCTTTATTTGCATCACCCTCTTATTGTGGCCAGCGAGCCATGCCATTGCACAATGTCTTAGGCCGTGTGCAACGGCTTTCAAGCATCCTGCAACGTTTGAAGAGCCGCAAGGGCCATCCTGCCACCGTGGACCTTTTGAAGGCACTCCGCATCCCACCCTAAACAGGGCCAAACCGGACTCCATGGCAACTCGGAGTTCCGGTTTGGGCAGTGAGGCTATCTGAGATTCTGTGAGGCTTTTGGTCAAATCTTGCAGAATCTCTCAGTAGTGGGTGTGGACTCTTCGAGAGTTTGTTGTGTTTAATTCATGAAGTTGATGAGTGAAACTGGATCTTGCAGGTTGATGTGGAGGGTGATGAGGACGCTTCGATCCATTGACCGTGATATCCCAACACAAGCTGGCATGGTTGAATTTCACAAACTTCAATTCTGCAAACTCACCGATTCCAGAGCTTCCTGATTTTGCAACTTCTTTGCACATACACTAGGGCCATCCTTGAGTGCATTTTAACAGCATCCCTATTGAGCGTATATTTATCCGAAAAAATAGAAAGTTTCAAAAAAAAAAAACGCCACTG